TTAGCAATGCTCGTGGAATCGGAACGAAATGATTTCATGAACAGGGGACACCATACACATGTTAAGTATTTTTTAAGTCCAGCACATGGACTTACCCACACAGATACACAGGAAAGGGGCTGGTTCTTACAGAACACAAAGAATCCAGACACACAGGTTAGACAGAACTTCTTTCCCCTCCGACAACAGAGCTCACAGCCTCCTTCACACTGATCCAACAGAAACATAATGTGCTATTTTGCTCACTTCTTTAACTTACTCTAAATGTCTGTCAAGATTGAAAATGAACATCTCATATGGTCAGCAATTCTACATACAGAAATATCTCCAACAGATACTCACTGCAACTTTGTTTGCAGCAGCTAAAAGAAGGCCAAGAACTGGTGCCCATCACTAGGGGATGTTTAAATAAGTCATGTGCCAGATGGACAAATGGGGTCACATATGTAACTGTCTTCTTGTATATGCACAGAACTCCCTGAGGAAAACCATGACCATGAATCACTCAGGTGAGGCGGACAGGGTGTCTGGAGCCAGAAGTGGGCGACTTATTGACCCCTGTGTATTACTTAAATAGTTCATCCCTTTCATATATTATTTACTCACAAAATAATATAACCTTATTATTAATTTAACCTTACAGGAAAAACATGTGTGTTCTTGAAAGGGACAATACCACCGTCTTGCTGAGCATGGGAGTACAGAAGCAGTGAGCATCACCTAACGTTAAAAATACCCCTAGCAACTAACGAGCAAAATAGAATCAGACACATGGACACACGGAACAGACTGACAGGTGCCAGAGGGGACAGTCAGGGGAGTGCGAAACTGGTTGAAAGAAGGTGAAGGGATCAGCCAAAAAACACCTGTGTGACCCATGGATGTGGACAATGGTGTGGGGACTGCCTGAGGAAATGGGGGGCACTGAGGGGAGGGGAGCAAAGGGGGAAAATTGGGACAACTGTAATAGCATACATAATAAAATAGAATTTACAAAAAAGAAAGCAGAATAAATAAAAACACAAAAAACAAAAACAAAGAAACCTTACCCTTCTATCCCAGGAAAAGTCCACATATTGGGACCTCTTTTTCAATACGGCCTTTAATAACCAGAGAAATAGATTTAAGCAAAAAATAAAACTGAATGGAGAGGAAGCAGCAACTATGTGGACACCAAAAGAACCCGCTGGGTAATGGCAGGGGCGGAGCTGGAGTCCAGAGTCCTTTTCAGGTACTAAACGTTCTACAAAGACCTCTTGAAGCCCCAGCATCTCCTGACTCTTTATCAGAAGAGCACTCAAGGTAAAATAATGGAACTCTGTCATTTCCTCAAAGATTCAGTGCTTTTTCACTTGATTCTTCCTTGACCTCAGGTGGAAAGAACTCTTCGACCAACTTTCTGATACTTCTGCTGTCAAGGCTACACAGCTCTTTGCTCCAAATCTCCTGAGTATTCCTGTCCCCTTAGTCCAAACACACCCATAATGTCCACATTTGACCCTGGTCCCCCCCCCTTCAGTCACTGGCTGGCATGGCACTGTAAGACTCCCAGAGCCACAGTGTCTCTGACGTCCCACTGCCCTCGGCCCGAGCCACAGCCCAACTAGCTGTGCTTCCCCACCTGTGTCAGAGAGACTACCTGCCGGAAAAGCACTTCCCAGATGCAGAAAACCTCCCTATCATAAGATGAAAGGGACAGCATTCAAAGAGTTCAAACATTCCAGGCACAGTGACTCTGGCCTCAAGCCCAGCAGAGTCCTGGAACAGGCAAAGCTCATAAAATCACTGACCTCACAAAAGTCCAGGAAGCAAGGCACAATTTGCCCATGTGCCCCTGAGAGACAGGACAAGCCATGATTTGGATCAAAGAAAGTGACCTGGTCACGTTGCTGTTATCCACCTCCAGCAAAGAGAAGTTGGACAGGTTCTCCTCCTGAAATCCACATAACATCAGTGCAGGAGCAGTGAGTGAGACAGTGAAGACATAAACTTGTTCTTGAGGTGGGCATCATGCAGGCTGCCTACCTGGCTGCTTTCCTCTCTCCTGATCTTTGAAAGCTAAGATCTCAGATATGAGAGAAGCAGAGTTGATTCAATTATTTGCTCAGTGACACATTTTTATTAAGGAAGAAATCATGAGTGGAAACCATGCCTTGATACTATCAAGCTGGCATTCTTGTGGATCAGGAGGAGGAAAGAGAATGAAAGGTAACCAGCTTAGAGACACGGTTCATATTAACACACGTATCACAGACCTAAAAGTGATATGCTGAGTGAAAGATGCCTAACCAACAGAGCACATACTTTAGGACTACAGTTCTATAAAACACTAAGAAATTCAAACTAATGTGGTGGTGGAAAGCAACAGATCAGTGAGCATAGGATTGGGGAAGCAGAGGCATAGGAGAAGGGAATACGAGGGAGCACAAGGAACTCTGGGGCTGGTGGATATTCATTATCTTAATTATGGTGGTAATTTCATAGGTGGATCTATAGGTCAAAACTTATCAAGTCTTACATGTTAAATGGGCAGTTTATCACACAATTACACTGCAATAAAGTAAAATTTTTTTAAAAACCATTGTTCAAGCTAAGAAACTGAATGTTGAAATCCTCTTCAAAAGTCATCTTGGTTCTTCTATTTCTTGCATATGATGTAATCAAACAGCTCTGTTTGACCACAAACCAGCCCAAGGTAAAATTCATGGAAAACAACAAAAGCTGCAGTCAAGCAGTCCCCTCCACCCCTCACCCCCACCAAATACCTGCCTTCTGAGGCACAGAAAAAAGGCTCATCCTGACAGCTCAGCTCACAAAGCTGCCAGCTGAGAGCTAGGTCCTGTATGACCTATATAGCACTGGCCACAACAGCACTCACAACAACCACTGGGACAGGCCCCCACCTCCTACTCAGTTAATGACCTCGTCAAAGAGTTAAAGCAGGAAGAGGCTGAGACAATGAGTATGTTCTTCTCTGGCCTCCAGAGGTAATCTGCGGTATCCAGCTCACGCCAGACAGAAAGAATTGGGCAGAAAGTGCCCATGAGGGTGATACAATCAAAAAGATGCTCAAAAGACACATGTTCTAAAGGCCCTTAAGAGATGGCCTGAACTTGGTTCTGAGCTTCTTTGGCCTTCATCTTGCCGGCTGAGAAAGGAGTAACAGCAAGAAAAATGACAGTCCTAAGCACCTCAAACTGTTTCCACAGACTTGAGTCACAGCTATTCATTCTCTATTGCCACCCCCTGGCAATCCCAGGAGCTCCCAGCAGACCCCTGCAGGGGTCACCCAACCAGGGAGAAGCACGGACAATTCACCTGCGAAAAGCTCAGGCTTCATCACAGCTGCTCAGATGTCTGACACCTCATCTTCTGTCCTGCCAGACACCAACAAACACCCAGCCTCCTTCCTGCACCTTTTCTGGTAGACTGTTAGGGTGTACTTAACTGGCCCACCTCATACCCCTCAGTACTGGCCCTCACATGATCTGTCTGGGTCCCCTGTATGGACTGCTATATCCTGGACCTGGGTCCATCAACAGGCAAACCACATGCTACTGGAACACCTCTGGCCTTTCTCTCTGGGGTGGAGGTTCCCTGAAGCCCTGCTGTGAGCCAGAGGCTCCTGCTGGCTCTGCTTTGAGCAATTCTCCTGGGGTTTGCATCAGTCTTGCACCTGGAGGACAGGCTGAGCATCCTACAAGAGCCAGGAGCAGTCAGTCTTCAAAGAGGAAAGGGTTAGACATCGCTGACAAGTTGGGGAGGGGAGTCCTAAAAACAACTGGGGAGACAAAATGCTTCTTAAGTTTTCTGGGCCCCAGAATGAGGAGAGCACCAATTTCTTCTCCCAGACAATATGACATCCTCACTATTTCTGAAACCAAGAAGCTATGTTCAGTCTTGAAAAGGTACAAATGGAAAGAGTTTCTGAATGTGTTGCTGTGGCAGCTGAAAATGTTCAGATACTTAATGCCATCAAAAAATTCCCTTTATCTCCCAGAGGAAGTTCAGAGGAACTAAGAAGAGTGATAGAGAAGAAGAAAAGATGGAGCAGAGGGGGAGTGCACCTGCCCCCAGCTCCAATGGCTCAGGCTGCAGCCTCTTGCACACAAACTTTCAGAGCCAAAGCGTGTTACTGATGGCCTGCATCAATAACACTGGAAGTTTTTCCAGCAACACTGGAAGTTTTGAATATGGAAAGTGCCCAGCACCTGCCTGAAATACATGGTCAGGGCTATAGAATCTTATAATTAGACACAGATCAGAAAAATTCCAGGCTGGGGCACCTAAACAGGCCATGGATTAAGCATTCTATCACTAAACGCAATCACTTGCCACAGACATTTTGTGAGGGAAGCTGGTGCATGGTGCCTGGTGGGAAACAGAAAGCAAAGACCAATCCTGTAACGGGGCAAATGAATCCAACAAAAATCTTGGAGCACCCGTGGGGTAGCCTTCTTATGACTGTGCTGGGTGCGCTAAACCGACCAGAGTTGTGAGTACTGGAGCTCTGGTCACTGCTGCCTGGAGAAGCCTCCCAGGGGGGTTGGTAGGGAACGTGGGGACCTGGGAGAAGAGCAGAAGGGAGCTCCCCAAGGGGGACTGGAGCCGGGGCAGTGATGGGATGTAGGAGAGGGATCTGAAGGCTACTTCTGCTGACCTTCCCAGGGGCCTGGGAGTATCCACAAGAAAAGGAGAGGCTGGCATCACTGACGCTGAAAAGGCGTGGGGAAGCTCTAGGGTACAGACGCCTGGGGACTGGGAAGGCAGCGCCTAGCGTCACTCACAGGCCTGGACCTCCAGGCAAAACCTGAGTTCCTGGAGGCACACCGCCTTGCGCGAACTTTGGGAAGCTACACAAAAAGAGGCTGGCAGACAGCTCGAGATTCGTGGGTCGCGGTCACACGAACTCAGGGGACTGCCTCCCTCCATTAGGAAGGGAGCCGAGAACTCGAGGTGTGGAGGGTTGGGGTGTCTGCAGCCGGGAAGGGTTCCCTCACCTGCGGAGCACCAGGAAACTCAAGATCACCAGCAGCAGAAGTCCGAACGCGCGGCAGGGCCTCCGCGGGACACTCCACGTGGTCATCTTGAGTTCGCACAGCGCGCACGGTACCGGCTCGAGCCTGCCGCACTCCGCCGTGCGCTACGAGCTCTGAGCAGAGACCGCGCTGCACACCGGTCGCCTAGGCAACCGGGCGGTGGCCCTCGGCCCCTCCCCCGCACGTGGCAGGCTGGGCGTAGCAGAGGAGGGGCCTCCGCCGGTGCGCCTGCCCGCGGTTCCCAGCGCCGTGGAGTCTTCCCTTGCGTCCCCTCCTTGCCTTTACCCGGTTTCGGAGGCACGCGAAGTTTCGGAAGCAGTTTTCCTCCACGTGCAAACACGTGTAGAAGTACAGCACACGTGGTTCAACCAGTCCTTGAACAGGGGTTGAAGGAGCACGAAGGTCAAGTCACTCCCACCGCGCTACCTTAGCAGGCTTGTATTAAAGGCGCATGCAAAGACAGTGCACGCTCCTAAAACAATTCCGAGTGTGAAGAGAAATAATTTTGAAATAGTGACTTACCATGTGAAGAATCAGGACATTGTAGAACATCCTTTAGATGTATTTAATGGCTGTGTGTGTTTCACCTTTGAATTATCACGGAGAGGGGAGTGCGGCATAGTGGGTGGGGAGGCGGTTGTGGGCACCTTTGGTTTCTTCGAGTCATTTTCTTGTCTTGACTCCCAGCACTTTTAAGTTTTTATTTTTAAAAACTTCAGATAAAACCCTCACATTTTAGAAAAAGACAAATAAAATTATCATTCTAGAACAGAATTATTTCACGAAGGACATTGTGTAATATTTGGACAAAACTTTGGTTTTATCACAAACCCAACTTATCCCAAGAACAAAATACAGATATTACTGAAAGAAAATCTAAACATTTTCTAGGGAGGCTAATGTGTTTTCAGGGCATCAGGGTTTCTGGAAAATATCCATTGCATGTTTTAAAACCATTTCCTACACTTGTGTGCAGTTTTGAACTTGTAAAGCTGGTAGTAACAAAAAGGGATTTTATTTCTCAAAACAAAAACACATAGAGTTTAATGTGAAGGGTCCTTTTTCTAGAATTAACCAAATATTCAGTCAAATAGCAAAAGTTAAACCAAGAAGAGGTGAACAAACAAGTGAACAGTTGTGTGGGGTGGACCTGCCACAATGAGAGCGTGGCCAGGACTTTGCACAGCATCCAGTGCTGACAGCAGGGCCAGAAACGCTCCTAGCTATCCCCACGAGGAGCAGTGGCTCCCTCTTAATGCCCTCTCCAAGGTCATTGGTACTTTTTCTTTATTTTTTAAGACATATAATCGTTTGACAGTTGTTAAGACCATGATGAAAATATTTTGGTATAATTTGGATAAAAGCCCATGAGATGTATGTAGAAAATGTCAACGGTTAGCCCCCTTTCTACCTGTGGAGGCCTATCCCAGACACACCCCACCCACATTCACCCCCACAGCTGACACAAGTGTAGGGTGTCCTTACCCTGATAGACATCAGGGTATCCTTAAGTTACTGAAACAGTAACAGATCTTAATATTGTTTAAGTATTAGGAAAAACTTGTTAACATGGGCTATAAAACCCTCAAATGCTGAGCCCATTCTTGTGTCCTTTGTTTTTATTTGTGGGAGAAAAATGTAAATAACTGTGCTTCATAAAAAATCATTACCCCTTAACTTTGTGGGAAGTGCAGAACTGTAGACACACCCTACTTGCTGTTTAAGAACAATTTTACTTTATCTGGACTTCATACCAAGAAGAGTGCTACAAAGATGGCATTAATATGAGATGACTTTTACTGAGGACCCAAGACTTTTTGGTTTTTACAATATTAGCAAGATACTCTCAAGATACTCTTTTCCATCATGTTTAATGATCTTAACCTAAAGCAGAAAATGAAATACTCATATCCCTGGGGACACAGGCTACAGTTAGCAATCTGGCCTGATGAGAACACACACAAATCAGTCCTGCAAAGTGTGGGGGATGGTGAGGAGTCCCTGGTGCATGGGAATCTTCTTCACAGGCCTCCTTTCTGGTGTCCAGGATTCTGGTACAGAAAAATGAAAGAAATGTTCTTTAAAGAAAATGAAGTCGTGTTGTCCTCAGCCCACCACGCGAAGTCAGGGCTCCAACAGGCCCAGAGAGCATTTTTGGAGAAAATTGTTCCTTTCCAGAGAATTCATGCATCCCATATAATCGGTGGTATTTCCCGAAATGTGCACTGAAAAGCACGGGGAGAGTAAAAGCTGCAATCATTCAGAATCAGCTCAGTGGACACACTCAAGAAAAATAATGGTGCCAAACCAACCTCAGCAGCTGTTTCACTTTTTATTTTCAATAGGTGCCACACAGGTTTATAGGTCAGTTATTCATTCTTTCACACATCTCATTTTTGAGTGCACTGTGCTAATGCCTCATATATAGTGTATCTGAATTTTAGGAAACGTTTGGAAAAATTTCTTTTTAAGTCATGAGGGCAAGATGCAAAATGTGGCTTCTGCGATAGTACAGCCATTTGGGCCCCTGGAGCATGATATAGCAACCTCCTCCTTACCATGTCCCTGTGAAAAGACACCTTGGGCCAGCCCTCTCTACTCATGCTCTCCAGCCCCTTTCCTTGGGATTACAAGAGGAGTCCTGTTATGATGTCAAGTTGTTAAAGAATCTTGAGCAAAGAAAGTAAGAATAAATGAAGACAGTTGTAAACCAAGACAAAAAAAAAAACAAAAAAAAAAACGTACTAAGTCTTGGGAAGATTTGATCTTGAAAAAGAAAAAGGAAAACAGATGTATGTTAAGATGGGTAGTGTTAAGCAAAAACTTTCATGGCCAAAATATTTTAAAAAGTTGTTTAGGCCATTGCTAGCAAGAAAAAAACAAACAGGTGCTTGGAATGCAATGTGAACCACCAGCAGCAGGGCTATGTAGACGAAAAAAAAGGAGTTGTATGAAAAGTAACTTCCCAGGGTGATCTGATCATAAATTCCTAACTGGGCAGGTCACGGTCCAGAGTCTTGCCCCAGGCTCATAGCTTTGTGGTGACAGGGTTACCTTTGCCTTAAGTGAGCCCTGTCAGGCTTTCTCTGCATCCAGGTTACCACACCTTTAAAATGTCATAACCACCCTCAAGAAGGCATATAATCTCATGAACTGTTCTATAATCCAATCCCAGCCTGGCTTTCTCCTAACTCTTATAATTACAAATGCATAAAAGAAGCTTAAAATGCCCATCTATAGATTTAATACAATCCCTATCAAAACATCAATAGGATTTTTCACAGAACTATAACAAAAACAGTGCTCAGTACTCATCGTTAATTCATTGGGGAACTCAGAAAGAGTGCCCAAGTTGACAAGCAAGTGATGAGTGATGAAGCATTTTCTCTTGCTGGGTGGTGTCATGACTCGTCTAAGTTTTAGCAAGTGTGATGAGTTCTGAGCAAGCACCGAGTGCTGAAACACTTTTTTCTCATCAAAATGCAATGAGTACAGGGTTTGACGAGTCCTGAAGCTGATGAGTGTATACAATAATACTGAATGTCAATTATAATTGACAAATTTTTTTAAAAACCTGCAAAACTGATTCTTCGGAGCATTTGAGATTTTGCTCCTTGTATACCTCATCAGTTTGGCTCAAATACACTCTTATAAAAATTTCCCGCAAGTTTGGACATTTCTTACATTAACAGTGGACATAGTCATATGGATGTTAATTCAAAGTTCCAACATACACTAGTGAATGCAAAGAGTACTTTGTTGGCTTTGCCCTGCAGTTGTTAACTGAGTAACCTCCATTGTCTCTTCTTTCTCCTCTCTGGTCTCCTGTAAATGAATTTAGGACACGTCAGAATTTTCTCCTTGTCAGTAGTAAGGTTTTTTCACCCCAAAACACACCAAAAGGTATGTCAATGGGACAGAAAGGGGCCTGTGTGCAGAGAGAAGGGGTGTACCAAACATTGTTGTTGGCCTTGATAGTCTAAAAATATCACTTTTTATCATCAACCATTGGAGAGCTGAAAAGCCAGAGATCTAATTCAACAGCATTTTATTCATTAAGAAGGAATCAACAAATGTTTAATTACTGCTATATGCTAAACGCTATTCTAGGTACTTGGATACATCAATGGACAAAACAAAGATCGCTTTGAAACTTATATTCTAGCTGCAGAAGAAAGACAACAAAAATTAACACATGAATGCATAAGTTGTAGAGTATGTTCAATGATAATAAATTCCATAGCAAAAAAGAAAGTAGATAAAGGAAGGTAGATTGGGAGTGTGGTGGGAAGGGGCATACATGGAAGAGGTCTTACTGGCTGTTAATTAAACACAGATCTGAGAGAGGTGGTAGTTAGCCAGGCATGCTGATATTGGGGAAGGGCTCTACATGCAGACAGAATCTCTAGTGCAAAGGCATTCAGGCTGTGGCATGACACTGAGTTCTAGGAACTACAAGGAGGACCACAAGGGAAGGGGAGGGCAAGAACTGTAGGAGGTGGGGTCAGAGAAACGCAGGGGCCTCATCTGATAGGCCTTTCAGAGGGGGTTTTGACCTGCATGAAATGTGGAGCCATTGTAGGCTATGACATGACATCAATTATGCTTTAAAGATCATTCTGGCTGCTGTATGGAGAATCCCTGGGAGTGGGCAGGAGTGGAGAAAAGTTGACCAGTTAGGCTACTGCAGTCATCCATGTGAGGCCATGAGAAATGGTGTCTCAGACAAGGAGGTAACAGTGGAAGGGTATTTCTAGAAATACTTTGAAAGCAAAGACAAGAGGGTGGTTGTGATTCCTGAACTATTTGTGGGATAAGAGAAATAAAGAGGACTGAAGAATGACCCCAACATGTTGGGTCTAAGAAACTGAAGGAACTGGAGCTGCCCTTATCTGAGATGAAGAAGGCTGTGGGGAGTGGGTTCATAGGGGAATATCAGAAGCTCAGAGTGGGCTGATTGAGTTTGACATACCTTCAAGATTCTTTCTTTTTTCTTTAGAAGGGTCAACATTCATTTTATTTTTTTTTTATTTTTTAAATATATTTTATTGATTATGCTATTATAGTTGTCCTATTTTTTTCTCCACTTTGTTTCCCTCCTCCCCATACCCTACCTCCCACCATCAT